ATCGTGAGGCATTCACCTAATCAATTTTTAGCAATTTTCTGGAAATTTACCCAAATTTATTCAAATTTCCCTCCCAAATATTTGCAATGAAACCCTATAATTCAGTTTTCCTTCCCCCCCCCCCCCGGGTTTTCCTAACATAACATTGAAGTTTTTGCATGAAACTAAAAATAAGAAAGCCCTAGGCTGACAGAAAAGAGGGGACTCTATAGATAACCTAAAAATGGCTCTAATAGAACACTGAACAAAGTCGTCGTTGGATGTCCCTGATATTCCCTGATTAAAGATCACAACTGCCTTTTAACATTTCGATACTCGAAAAATCTAGAGACTAGTGTACTTTGTGTTGTAACGTTATATCGATGACTGCGACACTTCAAGAGGTATAATGTTGTAAAGCGAAATTCTACCTATTTTGGTTTTCCTTTCAATTATAGATGAACTTGAGATTGTGCTAAGTTGGCATGTTTATTTTACATTGTAAAGTTAGTAACTTTGACCTGGCTAACCTCGAGATCTGTATAGGTTTTGAGAACAATGTCGATAAGAATTAAACCGTTTTGAGACAAGCACCTTTCTCTTTTTTTTCTGTAGCCGGATTTGACGCGAAAGGGGGTTTAATATGTGTAAAGCATTATTAACTGTCATGTCATCTATTTTAAAAGATACTTGAAGCGTGTGCAGACATCATGCCTATTTCGTTGGTTGCACGTGGACGACGTTGGCGTTCTATTTCGTTGGAGTATAAAGCTGAAGGGCTCCGGGGGTGTAATAATTGGTTTGTTTTTGTTTTTCCGTTGTTCTGTTAGGGCTACTGGGGCTACGTTTGCTAAACATAATATTTAGCTATGTACTTCCTTTGGACTTTTTTATAACTCAGAATTTTCGAGCAATGAAATAGAATACCATAAAAATGAAATAAAGAGATTCTGAAGTCCGGTTTTAATGAGCCGGGGAAAGCCCCTAAAGACGATTGGGATTTTACTCGACTCGAACAATCAATCAGGTCCGGACGTTACAATGGCAACAACATGTTTTTTAGGCATTTTGTGTCATTGCAAATTCCAGGACACAAGGTCATTCGGTGAATGCATGAAAATCTCAACTACAATCAGGACAGTCTAAAACAAGCCACGACCCTACGTACACTAGACGGATACTCTAACCACTGTGAGCTACCGGATACTCCAAGCGATGAGTAGGTCGATTGTAAGCTGACATATCGCGCAGTAGTCACGTAACTGAATAGTCTGTGAAATGAAGAAAGAAACAGACAACTTCATGCACTTACCATATTTGAAAGATGCGAGCAATATACCATCGATTCGATGGTGTATTTGATTGGAAACGAGGCTGCTCGGGCAACAGTAAACTAAAAAAAATGGCGTTCACGGCTATTAGAAGACGAAATACCCGCTGGAATTCTGACTTAAACTGAATGGAAGAAATGCAAGAATACACAAAACATTGCTCAATGGCATGGGCTCCTGTCAATGGATGTTATCTACTTTAAGAGGAGTATCTGCAAGCATTGTGAATAAGTTGTTCTGTACAAACTTCCTTAAGCAAAATGGCTCAGTTTAAAGTTCAGCGTCCCGTGCTTTGTTACTGCGTGCAACTCTACCCACAATGTTCCATCTCACCCCTACTGTATTTGGTTTTACCTGAAAGGCAGACTGTTCTCTGTTCTCTGGTACATTTGATTGGAAACGAGGCTGCTTGGACAACAGTAAAGTAAAAAAAATGGCGTTCACGACTATTAGAAGACGAAATACCCGCTGGAATTCTGACTTAAACTGAATGGAAGAAATGCATGAATTAATACACAAAACATTGCTCAATGGATGTTATCTGCTTTAAGAGGAGTATCTGCAAGCATTGTGAATAAGTTGTTCTGCACAACTTCCTTAGGCAAAATGGCTTTAAATTTCAGTGTCCCTTGCGTAGTTCTTGCGTGCAACTCTATCCACAACTCCATCTCACCACTACCGTATCTGGTTTTACCCGAAAGACGGACTGTTCTCTGTCCCTTATTTTTACGTGTAATTGTCGAGAATGATCATCGAGAGAGAGCGTCGCCACTGCCTATTTCCTTTTCGTAAACGGTCTTTGCCATTTTTAATAGTCGATGCCACCATTAGTAACCAACCCTAAAGTGGCGGTCATGATAGATGTAATAAATTCCCTGGATTAAGTTACAAAAAGGCAAAAAATACGTGTTTGAAGTGTTAGAAAGAACGACATTGGAGTCCAAGTTGAATTTTCGTTAAAATTTACGAAAACGGCCAGGGTCACCTGTTATTGAAGTAACAGTTAAGAAGGACAGTTTGTTAGTGTATTTACTTTTAGTAAAATCTAGCTAGTGGTCTATTATCAATGCTGCATTCTGATTGGTTGAGCTACTACTAGGCTATATGTTATAGCCCACTAGTGGTGAAGAGCGCGGGCTTTTTGGCCGCAAAAAAGGATTGAAGTCTAGCTTTAACTAGCTAAATTTTTTTTATTCTCGATATTTTTTACCAACTAGTTGGATTTTACTAAAACAATTATTCCTCTTGAGTCAATAGCCCATTTGGTCAATAGCCCATTTGGCCTTTGGCCTCAGAGCCCATTTGACTCGAGGGAATAATCAGGCTCGAATAATTAAAAAATTCTGGAAATTTTGGCGGGTCGATGTGGTAGTGTTGTGGATAAGGAGAGATTAAGATACGAAGGGTCCTGGTTCAGGGCCCTGGTTTGACTGTGGGTTGCCATTTTGCTTTTTTTCATAGAAACACTCTCAATAACTGGTCAAAACTTTTTAAGTGTCGTAAAAATGGAAGCGACCGTTTACGAAAGGGACAACGTGTCGCCTGAGGGAAGTGCAAATCGTCTTGGGCACATTTCAACTCTCTCCGAACTCGAATTCGATCGAACTCGATCTCAACATTTTCACGCCAAAAATAGGAGGGCTGTAACCAATCAACTTATATAATCAAATACACAACGGCTTTGCAGAAGATTTTCATTTGTTGTTTGCATGAAAATTAGAACTAGAGTTTTATAAAATTGAAAATTCTACATTTTGTTGGAGAAAAGACCTGCGCCGACGTCCAAGTTTGACACGTTTGTTTCGAAAGCACATTCCCTTCCTTTAATTTAAAATCTAAATTAAATACTCAAGCTGGTGCAGCCAGTGGACAACAAATAAGGACTATAAATACGAGTTTGATTGTTTTGAAGCAGTGTAAATTGCACATTGGATTCATCGGGTGCTCTGTCGTGAGCGTGTTCTTGGTCGTGTCCATCAACAGTATTTTTGCTACTGGATCTTGGCCACTTCTTCCATATAAGCGGCCAAAACTTTAGTCTGTTGGTAGAAAGAAGAGAAACAGCGAAGTTTTAGTCACCAGAAAATAATGCGAAACAGCGGCTTCACACGTGAAAAAAGCAGAAAAGCTATCCTATCACGTGGTGCTAAGATGTGAAAGAGCATGCTTCAATCACTTGTAAAATGGTTATCAACTGGATAAAAATTTAACAGTCTACAACCATTACTTCTGTAAACCAGCAGTTCTTGTCTAAATATTAAATGATCTAGAAGTACCCATTATTTTGTTGTACAGTCACGGCTGTATTAATAGGCAACCCTCTGCAGTGGAGCCTCGACATAACCAAGTGCCAAGGGACTGGCAAAATTTGTTCGCTAAAACGAGGTTTCGTTATATCCAGGTTCTTTTCCATATGCTTTACTATAGCTCACTTCGGGAAAGAGTGATAGCTTGGAACCGAAACTAGGCACGCGCGCATTTATGGGATTATTTGGGGGGAAGCGAATGTAAACAAACATGGCGGAAAGCGAAGTGGAATGTTTTAGCAGGGTTAAAACAGCTAAAGCTGAAGGAAGATGATGTTCCTGGGGTAATTTTACCTTGAGAAACAACAGAATAATGCACAGTGAAACAGCTTTAAATGAGCGTTTGCATAAAAATAACGGGGCTTATATTTTAAAGGCCCCTTTTTGAGGGGAATATTTTTTTTATATTAGGCGGGGCTTATCTACGGAAGGAAATTTGCGTCTCAAAATTTTTGGAAGCGAAATTTTACCGTTTTTGCTTTGTTTTACTTTTTTGTATTTGAGGGCAATCTCAGAACTTCGGGGCTTATATATGGAGAGGGGCGATTTAACGGTGGCGGTTTTTTTGCGTTACGTGTGTTTGGGGCTTATGTTGGAGGGGCTTATACACTGAGGGGCTTATTTTCGAATTTTACAGTATTCTCTTTGGAAACGTCTTGCCTTTGGTATTCTATAAAATGCCAGACCAGGGGGAGTCTCAAGTTATTTGTACACAAAGCCAAACAACAAGTTCCATGTCTCGTCATAATTCAAGGTGGCTTGCTCGACTTGTCCCCCCAAAGGTCCCATAAATGCGTGCGCGCTTAGTTGGGTCCCAGGCTATCACTCTTTTCCGAAGTGAGCAATTATTGGGGTAAACAAAATCGTTCGTTACACCGAGGACTTCGTTATAGAGAGCGGTTCGTTATATCGAGGTTCCACTGTATCGAGCAACTTGTTGCCTCGAGCTATCTTGGAATTTTTTCACGAAAAACGAGGCCTTGGTTTTAAGATATCTAGAAAATAAAATAAAAAGCAATTACTTAACGCTCAACTCCTTTATAATCTGCTTGTTCGCTGAAAATTTACTCGAAATCTCTCCGCGATCTCGTCCACGTGCGTTTTACGTGATATCATCGCACAGGAGCATACCCCAGATAATAAGAAAACCAATCGACTGCGCATGCTTCTGATCTTACATCCGACAAATTTTGGCTTTCTCCCACTATTGCAGAGCCTTTGATAGTGTGCTGTCTCGCATAAGGCTCGCTAGCAACAATCTGTTATTTAAGAATAAGGGAAAAGGGGAGGGGGTCACCAACTGGTTTCGACCTACCACTTGGATTTTAAACCGAGTTAGCATTTACTGTACAAACTAGCATGTAAAGATATCTTAGAAATGGTTTTAAGGGATATAAAGCATGTCGTCATTGAATATCACAAAGATACTCACTCCCTCTATGTAGTTCTTTCGATCCATCTTCTCGTTCTGCGAGTGCGCGCCATCAACGCATGCACCCAAAGGCAGAAGTACAACATTCTTTTCAGTGGCTTCCTGCAAAGTTAAAGTCACGGGGATGCTTCCACCTTCACGGGTCATGTCGGGGTCAGTTCCAAATACTGCAGTAAAGAAGAGAAGAATACAGTAGGTAGGTCCCATCTCACAGAACTTACACTTATCTGGTTCTTATGGGACGTAAAAGAACCCACACCACTGCTCCAAAAGAGTAGGGGACGTAGACCAGGAGGTGTGGTCAAGCTTCACACATCACATCATTCACATCATTCACATCATGGGTCGGGTGGGTACAGCAAGCTCATAAATGGACTGAGGGCGGCTGGCAGTAACGCCTTTGTATACTGACGTCCAAGCTTACTGCTCACATGTTAAGATATATTGTAAAGAGGGCACATCTGTTGTCCTCTCATCAATGACTCCTTCCTTCCTTCCATGCTACTGTATTTTCATAGGCGGATCACCCTCCTAGCCGAGCCATCTCTTTGTTTCTCGTGTAAACGGTCTCATGTAACGCTTCGCCGAGTTTTGCAAGTTGACTCGCCCAGGGTAGCTCGGGTAGGTGAATGACCCCTCTACCAAAACAAGGTTTCTCCATATTAACGGCGCGTAAGACGAACCTGTTTTGAGTGCCCCCCTGGCTGCTTGGTAGTTAGCATGGTTGTAATCACTCACCCATGGCCGACCTCCATGTCCCATTGTCACGCTGAAAGGAAAGACGCAAAATGTGAGTGACAAAGACGAATCGAAAGCATATGACCTTCAGGGCCGAGTCGTTCAAAGCTGGGTTAAGATAACCCAAGGTTAGTGCGAAATTTGAATTCAGATATTGAAAGCTTATGAGTAATTTCAGTTTTATTCTTTTTTGTCAACAAGTTGATGATTGGATGCTCTTCAAATAACAGAGAAAATTATCCGAGAAAATGCTTTTGAACAAAGAAATGAACACCAGGTTAAATTTAGCCCAGGCTTGCGCGCTAATCGACCTTCGAACTTCTGGTCAGATGTTCCACCACTGAGTTAATGGAGAATTGTTGGAGAACTTGGTTCACGCGACAAACATCGGCATACTGCATCGATGAAGAAACGCTGCTACAATGAATTATATGCCTAGTGAATAAATGAGAGAGACGTCTCCTTTCAGTGACAAGCAGGCGATTAAAAAAAGAAAAGAAAAGAAATCAAAATCAAGTCTCTGCTCGTGCGAGGAATTTGTTTTGCGACAATCACCACGAAAAATGACTGCTACCAAACCCTTGTGAACATGAGACACTAAATTTCTTGCGGGAGTTAAATTTTGCAGATGGACGCAAAATGCCGCAAGTCAGTTCTCTCTCCGTTGACTTTCTTGCTGCACAACAACTAGTCACACATAGCCTACGTGTACCCAGACCCTGCCCCCGAACCGAAAAAGGAAAAAAAACGACGAGCGGAAGCTCACATAACGAGATTCCCGTGAAAAAATTGGCCAGCACCTCTGAACACAAGCTAGGACCTGTGACACTATGACAATAGCGTCGTCTCACCCGGTATTTTGAAGATCGTGTTAACAATGCTGAATCACGCACACGGCTGATTCAATATCGGGGATGTAATCAAACGGTTGACGCCATGAGGTTTATAGTTTCACGCAATTAAAAAATATTCTATATATTATATGATTTGTGGGATCAGTTAGATAAAGTTTTCAATGAACTTCGTATTTCGAAAATACCTAATATTAACTTTTAACACACGACTAAAATATTGATGCCCTCATACTAAAGTGTTTTTCCGTTGACACAAGTGCGTACTCGGGGACAAAGCTTTCGAAACTCCCGTTCTTTAACTTGAACGGGAAAAGAATTCTTATTCTCAACACAACGCACTGCTGGTGTAGTCAACTCTCTCTTAACGGAACCTCTGGGTTGGTCCTAACATTCTTCAGTCTTTTACCCGCCTCTTGCACATGGGTCTTCAAAACGGATTTTGTCGTTTGAAACAATAGGTGGTTTTCACGTGACGTCATGGCGGCCATACTAGGGAGCTTAAGCAACAACGACGGCGACGGCCAAGAAAACGTCAGTTAAAAAGTGTGTTCGTGCTGCTTTAAAACTTTATCGCGCTTATTCCATCTCGCTTTATTCATCAAATGTTGGCGAATTTTTCTGCAGTTGAATTCTAAAGGAATGTATTAGAGTTCACGAAAACAAAACAGTGCTCGAAAATAACTTTTGGGTCTGGTCTTCCACAGGACCATTAGGTAACTACGGATCACTTTTATCATTTTCAATTTTTTTTCGTTCCCATCCACTCAGTTCCACATACTTTGACTGACGTTTGCATTCACCAAGGGAAAATAGATACGGACCTTCGAAACGAAATTACAAAAGCCGCCATCTTGTATCCCACAGTGGATTTTGTTTCAAGTAGAACCCAGATTTTTATTCAGCAAGAGAATGCCTAGCACTTTTTTGCCTGTTCGTTATTGAAACGTTTGCCTTTGGCAATTCTTCGTTTGTTTCAAGGCTTTTACCACTTTTTGGTATGATACAAAAAAAAGTTCATGTATTTCTCAGAGAGTGGTACCTTTTCTCGTCCAGAGGACTGGTGGGAAAGAAAACTACTCGTTGTCAGATTTTTTTACTTGTTTTTGACGAGTGGACGACCGTTAAGTTCGAGCACTGAGAAAAAGAGGGTCGTTGTCTTGTGTTCACGTCCTCAGTTTCACGTCGTAGTCGTGCAACGACGGCAAAGAAATGTACAAACCAGCGTGATCCACGTACAAAGTTGTTGTTTTGCCAATCTAACCCTCTCGCTTTTTTGCCGTCCTCGTTGCCGTCGCTGTCGTCGTTGCTTAAGCTCCCTACTAATTTACCACTGAAAAGAATGAAACAGCGGCCATGTTGGTGAACCCAAAAAGCCTCTGGGACTTGGATTGGACTCTTTTCTTCTCACGTAAAATTTCTTTTCTTTAAAAAGTTGCCAAACCACGTGAGCGAAAATGCTCTGTACTGTGTCATTAGGCTGACAGAACAGGAACGTCATTTGAAGACGGCAAAGCGCGCGAAAAAGGACTAACTCTACTTCCGGTGCTCAGTTGCCCGCTCAGCCATTGGTCAAAGCCAGTTGTTTGATTTGCGAGCGCCGTCGTCAACTGACGTCCCCTGTTCTGTTGCTAAATCAGCCTAATATGATACTACAGCCACGTTCAGGTTGTTGCAGGTTGCGAAAGTCTGTTGAAGAAAGTAGGAGTTCTGCCTTTGCTGTACATGTTGCGCGTTTACCGACCAAAGGCAAAACTTATTTTTGCAGCAAGTGACCTAACTCCCCGTGTATGGAGTGACTTCCGCGTAATTTTATCTAATCAGAATTTAGTATTCACGCAACTTGCAACACCCCCTACCTGACTCGTGAGTGGTAAAACGTACAACATCGATATTCGGCTCGTTTTGCGGCAGTGTTACAACACATGTTGTTCGTTTTAACGTAGCTTGAGGGAAATTTTCGTGTCGACACGAAGAACGGAAGAGTAGGAGACTACTAATACTTTGACGCCAACAGAAATCACAAAACGATACAAGGCACCATACAGACACCGTTGAGGATACTTGCTAGGAGTCCCCCATGTTACACAAAAGGGAGCAGGTAAAGATAGAAATATTAAACAATTATGCCGCCAGACCGGAAGAGCCTAGGTGTGATAAACAACTCAATGTCGTGCCCTTCTTCAAACTGGACCCTAAAAATTGATGTCTACTTCCGGTCAGCAAGTTGGTCAGTTCTTCCAAATACGCAACCAAAGCTTTTTAGTCTACAAAGGAAAAAAGAAAATAACGAATTATATTTTTCACTTCCCTTTTCAGCAATTTGGAAAACGTCTTGCATTGCACTGCGAATTAAAGTATCAGCGCAACAGCAGTATATCCCTCAACTGATGTGTCGACACTATCTCTCTTTTGACTTCCAACATGCGGAAGGTTTAGTCGAATCTCCCCACAGATAACTTGTCAAAATAATGCAAACTTTGTTTCTGCTGTTGAACGAGTTACTATGATCAGGAACTCTGTCTTGCTATCGTTCAGTTTTTATCTTATCTGTTTCATCAAGCCCCAGCCTTTATGTAATATACCAACTCCTTCTCATTGCATTACCTTCGGGTTTAAAAGATAAATAAAAGCTGCGTATCATCAGAAAATTCCTATTACAGGCGCATAATGGGGAGACGCACCAGTGTACGTTGAGGGATTATGCGACGGTGCCGTATTCGGGCCAAACTTCACTAAAAGGGAGCTCTATGTCCAAACTAACTGAATGTTTAACTGGTACTTTCTAGTGAAATTTACTGCGTTTCCCTGTGATTTGTGTCAAGGGAGCAGATGATGCCATGTCTGTGGATGCGATGTTTTCGCTCTGAACTACAGCACGGTTTTGAGATTTGACCTTTGGAAATTTCACCAATAAATACAATATACCTACTGAATGGCTACATCAGATTTTTCAACTTCATTCAATTTCAGCTTTTACGAATGAAATACCTTAATAAACTGTTGTACATTGGCACCAATTCTGAGTTATAACCACCCATCATTCACTAAATGGACCGGGGAATGAATCCATACATACCGTGTCATGGACCGGCTTAATAAATCATGCATACCTTGTCGTCTGAAATCTTTGCATGCAACTTTGAAAAATGGAAGCCATTTTGCCATGACCCAATTCATGCGTACTAAGCCTCGCTTTCATTCTAAGATGGCGACCAGGGTCTTTTTTTTTCACAACTTATACGACCTAAACGGGTCCTTAACATATTCCAATATGACTAATGACACCAATTACAGAATGGTGACTTTTTTCGGACGTTTTTTACGGCCGTTTCGCCTTCTGCTTTATGTAACTAGAGTAATATCAAAACAGTTAAATGTCTTACGAACATACACATATTGACCAGACGAAAAACGCCCACAGCCGATTGTTTTTTGCTTAGGTTAAACTTTTATTCACACGAGTTTTGTAATAATTTTAAGTTGAGCTCTTAAATCACTGCATTAAATAGATTAGTTGTATAAGTTACGATTGCATGACAAAGCATCGTGTCTGTACCACAGTTAGGCGTGCTAGGACGACTGAGAAACCGGGTAATTAACAATCAATGAATGAGGCTGGTGTCTTATAAAATTATGGAATCGAGGAGGGTGTTACGTGAGATCCACTAGTTCTTCATATGATATAAGCCAATTCAATAAATGTTTTATAATTCATTCAAAATAATTCCTGTTTAAAAACATCATGATCTAAATATGTGTGCACATTAGGATTGTTCCGCTCATAAATATTCTCCAAGTAGCAGATACGAGTTGTTCAGTTGTCTTCTTGTTTTTGCCATGTTTTTCTTCTATTATTTCGCCCTAGTTCTTACTCTTAAAACGAGTGAAATGTCACCATTTTGTCTTCACCTTCAAAACAACTCAACCTCGTCCACAGGTGTTCTGGTTAGCAGTGCATTAACCGGCAAGGAAGCTGCACTTTTGACTTCATCAGTTGATTAATCGCAAAATTCTTCGTTGGTCATCAGTAACTGGTTATAGTGAATTATACTTGTGCTTTTAGTCAATCAGAATCAGGAAATATTTTGAATGAATAATAATACATGTTAAAGGTTTTGCTTGCTTTTCATCTGGTTTCCTGCCCTCCACGTTCCCAAGGTTTATATGATATTTAATAATCAGTATCGTACATATCACAGACATTATTTTTCACGGTGTTTCATGTAA